TGCCAGGGAGCTGAGGGTGCAACTTGCTTCACCTCCCAGCTCTCTTTTTTGTAGAAGTCGTAAGTGGACTCTTTTCCAGGTTTCCACACCCCACCCATGCACAACAGTGACCTTCTTTAAGTCATGACTTACGTCTGCCATTGGATTCTCCAGCGCCTCTGTAACAACTTCAAACATACAGGCAATAGATTTCTGTTTTATGTTTGTTTGGTGCTATTCACATTAATAAGTTAATTGTTAGATTAATTGGGACTTCTTTCAGGAGGTGGCAGCTTTGCCTGATTCATCTGTGCTCTCCAATTCTGTGGTCTCCTTCACACAAGGAGACCAGGCTGTGATGAGCTCTCGCTTGTTGTTTCCACTAATGAATCAGGGAAACAGAGAAACATTTCCTGTTTGCTGGGGTTTGTGAGGCTGGAGCAATCTGTGCGATCTACTGAACAGCCCTTTGAAGGGGTGCTCTTTGTTCTCTTTCGGAGTCTCTACAGAAGATGTTTTTTATTTACTTGGCTTGTTTATTTACTGGACCATGTGGCCAACATCTGTCTGAGCAAGAGCAAGTCAACGCTGACACCATCTGAAGATGTCACAGATACCCACGATCTTCTACCTTTTATTGTTATTTACAGTTCCTACATAGCATGAAAGGTGAAAGCAACAAAATCCCTCATTTGTTTGTGAAGATAAAGACTTGCATTAGTATCCCATAACAATGCCCCTACACCTGGGAGACTTGACACCACACACAAGCACTGTTCATGCAATCCCTGATCCAGGACTCCAGTCGGCACCCTCCTGGGCCACACCTCCTCTGCGATCCGCTCTCCTGTTACTGCCTGGGTGTGTCTACCTGCAGTAAAGGCTGAGCTGCACTGCTGACTCTCCTTCTAAACCTGGTGTGTCTCCAGTCAAGCACACAAGTGCTGGAAAGGGAAAAAGCTGCAGGCGAAAGACCTGTTCAAGCCTGGCAGAGGTGAGCAGAGAGACCTGTGTCCTTGTGATCTTAGAAATGGGCTGTTTTAATAGCAGACACATGTAGACACTCACCAGCCTTTTCTTTCCATAAAGGTCTCCCATAGACAGCCTTGTGGAATAAATCTGCTATTCTCTCTCCCACTCATTTTTATCTCTCTGTCTTTGTCTTCTTTCCTCACTCGGTCCCTTTCTCTCTTTCCTTCAATATTTCTCTCTTTCTTCTCTCACTCAAGCCTCTTTCTCTTCTGTCCCCGCCCCTCTCTGTGGTGCTCGCTTGCTCTGTGATGCGGATTTGTACAGCACTGCAGGGGTGGGCCTCATCAGCAGAGGTGACATGCTTTCACAAATGGTATATCACCTGTACGCAGGTGCTTACAACAGGGAGACACTGTGCTGATCCAGGGAGCAGCTCTGATGGTGTGAAGCCTGTTCCAGCAGGCGAGGCCCGTGTGAATTATGCATGGTTTCCCATTCGGGACCTGCAATATGGCAGCGCTGCGCGGTGCAGCTCGCTAACGCAGGAAGTGAGGGATGACAGGATGTAGCGTGCAGCGGGGAGAGAAAGGAGGGGAAGGATAGAGAGTGCTTACCAGCATTGTTCGCGTGTCTGCATACCAGGTGGCCAGAGCAGACGCAGACTGTGACACTGACGCACCGTGCACTTGACACGCACAGAAGAAATACGAGGTGCTTTGGTTGTATAGTGCTTGTCTGGTTGTTATCACAGAAGCTTGCCGACATGGAGATAACACAGCTGTAACAAGTACAAGATGAGCAAGTGTGTATGCAACATAGACTGGCCCTGTTCTCTGTAAACGTTTGCATTTGGGAGGGGCACGTTGATTTCTTAGGAAACGTGAGCGTTTCCCCTATTTATAGAGGTGTGTGTGGGGAGTGTGCTGCTCATTTTAATTTGGCAGGCTTGTGGCTCTTAGCTACACCAGAAATTCTTCAATGGGACATCGGCGAGTGGGATTCAGTGCATGGCTGGGCAGTGTCCACCAGAATTCCAGCACTCAAGAAGAAAGCGATAAACTGCAACCTTTTGGCAATGACGCCTCTTCTTAGTTTGTTAAGCTCGTCATTCACCCTAGCATTCGCTGATGTGCAACTGCACACCTCCAGCTTGGGTTTCAAAGGGAGAATTGTGAGCGCTGTGAAATGTTTCGGCTGGTGACTTGAAATTCACAAAGGCACAAATGTGCAAAAAAAACGACTGTTGTCTGAATTCAGTCAGACTACAGGTAGTTCAGAGCTGCAACGCCAGGCGAACACCACACAGCCCTTTCCTACCAGTCGTCCAGGGGCCCTGACAATGCCCAGAGTGTTCTGCTCCAGGCGCAGCAGCAGAAGAAGCACAACAGCAGTTCTGTCTGTAACTTCCCCTTTCACTGGAACACCTGAAACGCTCTCGAAAGAGCTTGCCGAACTTCCCCAGGTCCGGCTCCAGCCCCAGCACACTGCCTCAGTCAGACAAGAGCAGCTTTGTGTGAGGAGGCCAGGCCTTTTAAAAGGATTCCTTCAGGCCGAACGGGCACAGATTAGAGGTTCTCAAGCGCTGAACTTTACAACCCTGCTCCCTGTGCAGATTTATGTCCTGGCCTGCGTTTGCCTTTCACAATGGAGATTTATGGCCTCACTGCTAATGCGGCCAGGGCAGATATTACAGTAACAAGAGCAGAGGGCAGAGCCAGTCGTGGAAGGATGAGATGGAAGGTGTGGGTCAGGGATCTTTGTTAGATATTTAAATTCAAATATCCGCTGCTGCCTGCGTACAGTGCCTCTTCATTGTGTGAGCTCAACAGGTTCCTTTTGTAATTTGATAAATAAATCTTTACGAAGGCTGATATATACTCTGTGTGTTAAATATCATAATCACTACTTTTGTCTTGTAAAAAATGCACACAGATCAAGCTTTTGAAATACCAAAATCCTGTTTTTTATTTACGATGCATGTTTCATTTTTCTGCTGTAAACATATTGCTTCGTGTATAAATCTTTGTAGAGCTCTTTGAGTTGAAGGACTTCATGAAAAGACTCCAAATCTGCAATGGATTGTCTAAATGATTTGGTTATTAATGAGTCAGTCGATCTGTTAGAATGTCTAACCGCTCCAGGGCTCAGAGTCAGGGCTGTGAGGGTTGTCTGAGAAAACTGGTGAAGTCTTACTGAACTTTCATATTAGTGATGCTCACTCCTGGACCCGGAGAACCAAGGTCATTCGCTATCCATTCTAGCTGCAGTTCTGAGCCACTGAAGTGAGTCAATAATTAGCCATAATCACAGCTGATACCAAGTCTTCAGTCACTGAGGAGTCAGAGCACCCTGTAAGTTCTGCAATGCTGTGTTGCAGCAGGATGCTGTGAGGATCACAGCCTGCATGTTCCCTCCACGGCAATGACCATCCCTGACTCACGTTCAGCTGCCCAAGATCTGAAATAACTCTGCTAATGATGCATAAAGGTGAACCGTGTCGCTTTCCACACGCCCCCAGAAAGAGCTGACTGAATGTGAACCGGCCTTGTTGACAACCGCACTGAGCTGCCGCCAGACAGGCGGTTTAACGGGGGCCGAGCCGTGGCAGACGCTGTGTTCCTGCCTCTGAACACACTCCGTTTCCTGTAAAGCCTGCTGTGTGGGCAGGCAGATGTGCAGAGCCGAGCGTGTGCCGCTAACGAGATCACCCTGACTTCCTGCCTTCGGCTTGCCGCTGCACGCACCCGCGCGCGCCCCGCCGCCCTGCCCACACGGGCTGGCTGCAGGAAGAGCTTCGCGGGATGGGAAGGGGGTGAAGGGGGTGCGCGATCTGTCCCCGGCCAAGGCGAAGGGCACCCTGGCCTCCCTGCACGCCCGCGCTTCAGAACGGACACTGCTAGCTGCCATTTTCTCTTCACCCTGATCCATTCGTGCTCTGAATGTTGCATGCTTGTTTATTTTGGTCGTTTTAGACTATCTCAAGGATTGAGCAATTCCTGTAGTGTGCGAGTAATTCCAGATCCGGTGTGGCTTTAATCTGCCTGCCTGAGGGAATGATAGCCTGGTGCCGGTTGCCTGCCCAATTGTGTAGGACTGGTAGTGTGTAACGTCAGCTTCCATGATATCAGTTTACTGCACTCTGATTGGTCCTTGTGCCACACGCCGGTGTCCACTCACACTGTGCAAGACAGCACAGATTGCCCATTCACCAATAACCTTTTATCGCAGAGCACACCAGACTTTTTGTCCACTAGCATCCAGTCCACGAGGGTCCAACATGAAAAACAGATATTTTGGTTGTTCCCTCGGACTGGCAGGAATCAGGTCGAGGGCAACCTGATGCTCCATTTTAAAAGTCAGGTAGTTCTGACAGCTGAAAAGTCTATTTAATTGCAGACAGTAAAGAATATTGAATTGTTCTGAAAATGGAACAAAACCTCTTTTGCCAATATTAGGAGAATGAGAGGAAATGTGGTCCAAACATATTACATTCTAAGGACTATATATGGGGTCAGCCTAAGGAACCACTTCAACCTCAGGGACACTTGGAAACAAGGGCACAGGGTTAAAAACCATAAAATAAGTCAGAATTAATTAAGGATGAAAAACAGGAAGCACTTTTTTTCTTACAGAGTTATAGGTGTCTGGAAAAGATTTTCCAGGAATGTGGTTGAGGTCCAAAGCCTCAGCACCCACAAGTGACTGGATGACATTAAAGGATAACTCAGCTACTAAACGAGCAAGTCCGACAAAATGGCTTTGTCTTTTAACCCTCTGTGTTTATAACATAAGCGTTTCCCAACTCTTTCACCAACTTTTCAATCCAGAATTATGTTGCAATGAGTATTTAATCACTTATCTCTGCTGAACATGCCTGCGAGATGAAACTTAGTCACACTTGATATGTAAAACACATTTTACACCTCTAGTAGTGTTGTTTTAAAACAATCGCCACAAAGAAACAACCATGAGTTATTTCTTGCAAGAAAAAGAGGGGCTTGCGGTTGCCATGGGTGACTACAGTAAGACTTGTTTTCCTTTTTCTTCAGGTCAAAACATCGCTGCACAATCCCCCATCTCCACCACCCCTGAAGCCTCCACCAGGGTAACTGAGGCTGTGTCAGAAAGCACCAGCTCAGCTGTGCCCCACAGCCCCAACAGCACCAACAACAACCCGGCCACCAACAGCACCAACGACAACCCGGCCACTTCTAAAGCCACCGTCGCCGTGGTAACCACACCCGGCACCACGATGACGCACAGCGTGACGACAAGCAACGGGAGCTTCCCAGCGGACCCCACGACCAGCAACACCCTCAGCAATGTGACCCAGAGCGAGTCCACAACGCATCCTCCTGCCGTGGGGAACACTGAGGACACTGCTGTCACTGAGCCGGCGCAGAACTCCACAGCAAACAGCACCATGAGCCCCACTCAGGAACCCACAGCCACGCCGGGTGAGTGACCGTCACTGCCGCACCCAGTCTGGGTGACAGCCCTCGCAGATTTCTGGACCTCCCGCAAAAGTCCCTGCAGAGGGCGAGTCTAAAAGGAAGGGCTGTGGCCTACTGCGAGGCTTAAAATGGAAGCAGCAGGGTGCAGGCTGGTCCCAGAATAGCGTCTGTGGGGCATGCTTGCTTATAAAAAGGAAAGCGCTGGGGTACAAATCTGACATTCAGATGGAATCCGGCCTCCAAGGTCAGACAACAGCGCACATATGGGAAGTTATTGTAAAGGTGGGGTGGAGGTATTCGCATTACTGTGGGGGTTGGGCTTAAAATACAAGACAATTCTCCAGTTTAAGTTCCCCTCATGGCTTCCTAATAATCCCCATCTATGAACTGGCTTCATCACTCCTGTGTGGTGAGAGTACTGGCACATCATCCAGGTGGGGCTGCACACTGGTGGTGGAGGAGGGGAGTCCCCAAAGCGCTTTGAGTGGAGTGTCCAGAAAAGTGTTATATAAGCTAAGGAATTGTTGTTATTCTAGACTTTTCCTTGAATTGGAAAATCTCCAGCAGCTCAAGTGAACCCCCCTTTTCTTTGAGTCCAAAGCATTAAAAATCCCCCCCACACACACACACTTGTAAAAATTCCTAGAGCAACCCCCACCTCCTCACGACCTCGCTCCAAAGGGGTCACGGAATAGATTTTCAGGTGATTCTGTCATAACGTGGGTGACATTCAGGTTTAAAAAATGTAAAAGTGGAATTATGGAAGAAAAGTATAAATGGAGAAATGGAAAGAGTTCAAACTATCGGGGAGACCAGGGGTGATTTCAAACATTGTAGGAAAGCTCTGGGACTGAGAAAGTGCTTGGTGTTTTTATTTGAACCCCCTCTGGAATGAGTCATTACCTCTCTTTTCCTTTAAAGGGAGGTCTGCAGTTTTATCCGGAGCTAAAAAGAGCATTCTTTTCTCCAACCCTCTGCAGACAGCAACATTACTATGACATTTCCAAATGAGCCTTTTAATGCTGTGCAAGAAAACCTGAAACTCAAAAATGTTCTTGCGCTCGCTGGCTGCCTCCAGACTTTCTTGGTGTTCCCCAGCAAAGTTCAGGCCAGTTGCATGTTTCCCTTAGAGCCCGAGACTTCAGCCGGTGAAAGGTCAGATTTATTTTTAAACACGCTCCTGGCGAGCGCCTGTGTTTTTTTCTCTGCCTGTGTTTTGAAACGCACAGACAATGCCCAGACCACGTGACCGTATCGTGTCATGTGCTCTGTCATTGTCAGTCACCCCTTCGTGTTCGTCCTGCGAGCTCAACGGCGCCGGTGCAGTCATCGCCTGTTGGAGGAGCAGCGTTGCAGCTCTGAAAACACTCCAAACTCACGGGCGCCACCTCACCCTGCTGCTGCTGGGCCAAGTGTGCTTGCTTGGAGAATCTCAGTCACACTTGGCCTCTACCCCTGCCTGAGCTGGAACCCGCAGTGTCAAGACTGTAGGGTTCGTGCTGCACTTCAAGCAAGCTCCTGCACTGGTTTAGTTGCAAAACCGCCTGTCGCAAATGTGAAACGTGCCCACACCCACACAGGCACATGCGCAAGGCTAAAGGCCTTCATTAGAGCATCCTCCTGGAAGAGCAAACAAAGACAACCTTGCTGCCACAAAGGAAGCTATTGTGTAGTAAAGTAAGCAATCCCGCGTTATAGCTTTCCAGCCCCTGAAAGCTATACGCACTGTAGCTCGTGCATGGAAACTCACAGCGACACAACCTCGCACCTCCCAGAGCAGATACACCACATTACCACTCGTCGCCTTTTTAACACACGGCTGTGTGTGTGAGGCACGGAGAAAAAGGGTGTCGGAGCCGGGGATAGTGACAGTGGTGACAGCCTCAAGCAATGCGAAAGTGTCAATGCGCTGTCGTCAAATCTGCTGCCGTTCGCACAGCGTACGATGTGGACCATGAGTCACAGAAGCCACAGCCAGCTGGGGTCTGCCAGCCAGCCAGCTTTCAGCCTCTCGGCTGTTATCTGACACCACAGATGAAAGCTCAGCAGTATTGCTGTTTTTGTTGTGCAGGGGAGAAAGGCGGAGAATGAGAAAGAGGACGCCCTTTATTTTACCTCAGGGCAAGCCACGGGCACCTTGCCCACGTCATAGAAAACTGCATCCGATGAGGTTTTTGCCCACACGTTCAGAAAGAGACACGAGAGGTGAGAGAAAGAAGAGAAAAAGAGGCCAAGAGACCAGGAGAGTGATACTGAAGTGCCACCTATTTCGAAGGTGTGAATTTGCACAATGGGTTGTGAAGTCTGGGCAGATCTCTGGGGGGGGGGGGTTGTGTCTCTCTCCTGGGAGAGAGACTGGAGATACTGGAGTTATTTCTGGCTCCGTGATAAGTACTGAAATCATCTCGCATCTCTCCCTTTGCTTGGCGCATTGTTGCTGCTGCTGCAGAGCCAAAAAACACGGGAGGCAAAACAGCCCCACAAAAATAACCCCGGTAAAGCAGAGTGTGAAATGAAACCAGGACAGCTGATATCCCCCGCGGAGTCTCTTCTTAAAGGAGTTTTTCTTTGCTTTTTTAGCAGTTCCCGACAGTAACAGAATCAAAAGCCCGAAGTCACAAGACATACTGACCTGTTTCCAAGTTGCCTACGCAGCACGTACTGCATCAGTGTTCACAGAGGCTTCGATATACTGCGTGCCTGGTTACAAGGCTCTCCCACTTCCCCAAGTTTGTTTGTCTTTGGGTCATCCGATTCCCAGCTTCTCATGCTCCTTCTCGGCTCTGTTTCCAGTGTCTCCACCAAACTCTAGCTGTCCCTGCGGAAGCAGACCATAGAAAAATATCGGAATGTGTGGGATGCCATGGGGAATGGCCAGCTTAGGTCTGGGAAAAATGGGAAGCAAAAATACCGTGTGGATTTTCTGTGATGCACTTTATAGAGGGTGCATGTAGTGTTCAGACAGCAATGGTCCTTTTTAAGGCAGCTTGGTGTGAAAGCTTTCTAATCTACCTCCATCCTTCCTGTGAAATCCCCATGATGAGTGAATGTGCAGGTGCAACTGCAGTAATCTAATCATAACTGACTTCTGAAGACCGGAGCACACAATGCATTGATAATCAAAAATGACGCGTTTCCTGTTTTCTCTGTGGCTGACTGCAGCAGTCCGCCTCACAGTGCGTGCTCCCTGTCTCTGGGAATTCCAGTTATGCCAGCAGCCTGGAAGGTGCACAGATAGGGCCCGATGTTAAACGCCAAAGTGAGATACAAATTGAGGTCAAACGACCCTGCCTCAAAGTAACCTCAAGTAACATGACCCACCAGTGTCTGCATCTCAGGGCCAAAAGGTTCAGCCCTGCCCTGTCACTGTCATTGTCACTCTCCACAGCCACTGGCATATATTTTAAAATGTATTTTAAAAGAAAGCGAAAAACAGGCAAAGACAAAAGAAAGCAACTGGTAGTTTGGTCCTGCAGATAATTGTGCGGGAGGAGACTGAAGTTGGAAGCAGGGCATTATGGGAAGACTAGAGTATATATTTCTCTGTTCAATGGGGTGCTGATTTTAATAAGGCAGAGGTTTGCTTCCGTTGAAAAAGACAATAAATAAAGCCTCTTAAGTAGAGTGTCTCCCTAGCTCACCCTGCTGTTCTTGACTTGCAGCTTCCTCAAACAGCTCTGGATTGGCTCCTCCACAAGAGGTCACGACTTCCAGGCAGAGGACCACAGGATCTCCTGAGCCACAGGGCACATCCCCGGACACCTCCCCGCCTCCTCACAGCACGGAGACGGCCGCTGCTCCTGCCTCCACCCCACCCGCACCTCCTACCGCTGCCCCCACATCCCCGCCGCGCCCCCCATCCACCGCCGCGCCCCCAGACGTCCCGGAAACCACTGCCCCGCCGAAACCTGCCGCCACCCCCTCTTCCTCCTCCGCGGAGCTCAACGTGGGCGACGACAGCAGTGAGTCCCCCTCCCTGATCCTCTCCGTGTGCTCGTGTGCGTGTTTGGGGGAAGACAGGCCCAGCCCAGCCTGACGGCCCGACACGGTCTAATCTCTGTCGCTCCGGCACTAACCCCAGCTCACTTCCCCGCGCGGAAGGATAAAGCCTAACTTTGAACTCTCCGGCTGCGCTCTGTTTATGTAAGCTGTGATGTCCTTCTGCAAAAGAGAATAGCTTGGCTGGCTTAGTGTTCCAACCGTTCAGAACGGGAACTTGTTTATGCAACGAAAACAAAGCACAGAATGTCTTTATGCTGTTGCCAGCGGAGAGAGAGCAGGGTGAGTAATAATCCTCAGGCCTGGGCTCTGCTCACCAGTGATTGATCTGCCTGCGGACGAGCTCGCATTATGCCAAAGACAATGGAAAACGCAAACGTCGGTGCCTATGGTTTTCACTTGTGCTCTTACCTTCACTCAGGTCAGCCTGTGTCCACCCCACCCCTGGACCCCCTGCTGGCCGGGCTGGTGTCCGTCTTCATCATCACCGCGGTCGTCGTCTCCCTCCTCCTCTTCCTCAAGTTCCGGCAGCGGAGAGATCGGCCCGAATTCCGCAGGCTGCAAGACCTGCCCATGGTGAGAACTCGGCCACCCCCCATCTGTACAGTACTAACTGCCCTGTACAAGGCTCACAAATCGAATTGAGCCGCACTGAGCTTGTTACCGAGATCTCCCTGTCTAAATACACCCCCCCTCCATATTCATGAATGGGCCCACTGTCGCTGTGAGAGAAACAGGGCTGTTCAGGGACCAGACCCTGAAAACATACACGCACCATGTGACCCTATCTACACAAACACCATAATCACATTTCTCAGGTTTTCTTAGATATATATGTATAACAGGGGAATAAGCTGAAAGGAGGCAATACTGTACTCCTTCATAGATGTAAATAACCCACTTTCAGCTTCTCCCATGCTCATGCTGTGTGACACAGATTTTGAATTCACTCTGTACTTATCCCAGACTCTGGAACACAGTAGATTCCTTTCAGTGGCATGATCACAGAAACTCAGTGCCTGGTTTTAAAACTCTGTTAAAAAAATCCTCTTGAATTGTCTTGTGACTATTCATCAGCAGCGATATTTTTTTCACATAATGCTTTGGTCTCCTTGCCCAGATGGGCACTCTGCAATCTAAAGATGGCCGCCATCGCTGATGTGTTTCCTGTTTTCTCTGTAGGACGACATGATGGAGGACACCCCTCTCTCCATGTACACCTACTGATGTGGGCTGCCTATGTAGCCTTGAACCAGAGTGCCCAGAGCTGCCTCCACGATCTTCACCACAGCCAGCCTGTCCCTGCTTCTTCCCTTTAAATGACTGTCATTCTGTTGTTTTACGTCTATTTTTCGAAAAAACGAGACCTTCTGTTCTGGGGGGTCACCGGTTTGGCTGAGACGATACGGGTGTGCAGCGCTTTTACAATCTTTTTAAAAATACCTCGAAGCGAGAATCGGAACCTTTTTGAGATTCAGTTTCGGGACGCCTCCTATTGACAGGGTTCATTTGCACCTACCTGATTTTTGGCCAGCAAGGTGCTTGGGATATGGGGTCAAAGACGCTCCCAGGTCCCTGAAACTATCCAGCCCCTCCCCCACCAACATACACAACCCCCGTGATTGATCCCAGCCGCATCCGCTGATTTTGGGTGCACTGCTGCCCCCTGGTGGAGTGTACGTGTACTGTTTTCCGCTTTTGTTTTGCCGTTTTCCAAAACCACACAGGTCATACAGGGCCGTGCTGCGCAGGCAGCGTTGGGGTAGGGAGGTGTAGGGATGGGTGCTGTCTCTGTCTGCCTGTCTCCCAGTCTTGGAATCACCCTCCCTACATGCTGTTCAGTCAGCGAATCTTCCTTTTAATACCATTGACTGCTGCTGGATGTTGCCAGTTGTGAGCTTTCTGGAACTTCTGCTGCATGGTTCAGAGCCACCTAAATCTGGTCTGTTTGGCGCTGGGTAGCCAATCCACAGCAGGGAGCAATCCGACAGGAGAAGGGAATTGTGAGTTAAGGGGAAGACCCTTGTAAAAGCAGTGAGCTCTGCTCAGAAGGTCTGGAGAGGAGGCCAGAGAGGAGGGAACAAGAAGAGAACAGTCCCTCTTAGCAAAGATTTCTGTACTTGCAAACACAGGGCTTTTTCCTCTCAATTCTGTCTGGAGTCACCTCTTGCTAATTGGCATATTTCATTATGACAAGCCCAATGCCAATTACTGAATTCCCTTGCTTCAGAGGTGGAGCTGCAGCGCTCACTCAGTGCGCTGATCTCTGCCCTGGTGGAATGAAGCCCATAACAATAATCATGTCATCTCATTTATAAGCCATAGAAATTCTAAAAGCAAAAATCCTTACAGAAAGTTTCCAAAATGTCCATGCTGTAATACTGTGGATTTAACGGTGCACAGGCAGTGACAAGACTGCTTGGGGAATTTGAAAGATTTTTAACTTTTGTGTAATAAAAAAAGTCATCTTGTCGCAGCTACAGGGAAGAGGGAGTGATGTGCCCACAGAGGGACTTGAGAACTGGTTATTGCCTTCGGTGGCACTGCCTGCTGGTTTTTATCATGCCTCCAGTTTCCAAAGACAGTGTAGTTAATCCATGTGTGTTTCTCTGTGCGCTTGTGAGGTTTTTTTTGCATGCAAAGTGTTTGTGTGTGTGAGAACGGGCTTTCCAGTCTCCTCCTATCCCTGTGTAACCTGACTAGACGAGCCGTTCCCAGGGAATACTGTGCAGGAAGGGAGAGGGGCGCTGTGCCACTCCAGGAGGTCGGGATCTCCCGGCTGAAGAACCCGGGTTTTCTGCAGAGCCTGTTTAAAACAGGAAGTGCCCCGCCCCAGCCCCCGCCCTGATGCAAGAGCAGGGGAGGCCACACAGCTTCATGAGGGAGAGCAAAGGTTCTTTAACAAGCAGGACCTGTTAAATCTGAAGATCAGGTTTTTGTTTCAGATATATCCTGTACTTGCAAAATCTCTTGACTTCCATCAGACGTTTGCAATAACGGCAGAGATAAAATGTCTCTTTTAAAGGCTCTCTTTCAGAGCATATTAGTTCTAACAGCAGTAGAATTACCCTTGGATTAAGCAGGTTTTGGGAGGGCAGGTCACATACTTGTTGTATATAGTTAGTAGATGCACTGTGCTCGTCTCCATCATTGCTTAACTAGTGCCTTTCCCAAGGGAGAAACATACATTAGTGCACATATTAAGCACAGCTTGAGAGCCATTCTTTCTTCATGCTTTTACCATGCTGTTACCTGTTTGTGAATGAGTTTACCATTGTGCTTCCTCAAGGCCATTGCCAACGCTGTTGCACTTTACTGTCCATTCTTGAGCTAGTCTGTACTGCTTTGTTATTTAGAGACTATGAGTTGATGGCGACAGAATTGAGTAGTAGATTGTGATGCCCTGCGCTGAGCGATTGTTTCCGGACAACAAAACTCCACCTACTATAAGAAGTGACTCTGCCCAGGTTGGAAGAGCATCTTGTTGTACATTAAAGTGAGATGGAGTATTAAATGTCTGGCCTCTTTTTTATTTTATTTAGAATGCAAATAATAAATTGAAAATTCAGCCTTGGTCCTGAAGAGCAACAGCCTTGTAGCTAGCAATTTGGCTACTGAGCACAGATTTACTTCACCTAATTAGACCACAGTTTTGAGGTCTTTCCTCACTTGTTACAAACTGTGCCCTACCTGGCATTTGAACTCACAACCTTCCAGGTACAGGCCCAGAGCCCTGCTCACTGCTGCAAACTGCTGTCGCTACAAAAAGGCAAAACACCAGCTCTCCAGAACTGTGGTCGCAAGGTCTCAACCTGCGAAGTGTGTAGGCTGATGCAGACAATTGTACAGTAGGATGATACTATAATGAATTGCTAAATACTAGAGCACTGTTGGGCAATTCCATTATCTGGTAGATGGAAGAGATGAAAGGGCTCTATTTGTTCTAGGGGAAACAAAAATGGTCATATTCTCTGCAACTATTTAGGGTATGGAACAGAGAAACTGCTGTAGTTCCAGGTGTATTCCAGTTCTCTGCCAAGGTTCTCACTGACAGAGAGGGGAGAGTGCGATTTCTAGGGTTCTTTTTCCTCATTTTGAAGAATGCCCTTTTGATTAAAACACATATGCTGTAAGCCCATTTTATGTGTTAGGACAGGATGACCACACAAAAAGGACAGCAGAAAGAAGAACACACACTCCGCCTAACACAAAGGAACACTGTTATAAACACAGTGACAAACGCACTAAAAGAAGCAAGCATGACTGCACAGACACACAGTAATAAACATGACATGGTGTTACACAGAAACACATGAAAGCAGCCTCTCGCAAACTTGCAAGAACAAAGAAACAAGCATGTAGCTAACCACTCGGCAACAGCACTGTCCCCTCTTCTCTCTGAGCCCTTTATTTCTGAGCAGCCCTTCCAGTTCCTTGAAGTCCAGAGCCACTTCACAACAACAGGGTTCTGTCTGCTCCCTCAGATTTTCCACGTAATTCTTCACGGTTCAATTAAAACAGCTCAAGGATATTATTTGTTCAAAACTCCTGAGACCCTTAGGTAATATTTTTCTTAAATTATCCAAATGCACCCGGCTCTTGCCCAAGGGACTCTTTCACAAGCACTATCTTGTTGTGCAGGACCTTGCAGAATTCTGCCATCGGCGGCGAACATTGTGGCCCTGCCTCCTGAGCAGCCTTGTGATACTTTCTCTGTTTTTGTAGAAAATACATGAATGCCAAATTTAAACTTAAAAAAAATGTTTTCTCATTTTCTCACCCCGCCTGTTATAAAAAGATCACTTGCTATCTATACCTGCGTTATCTTTACTTGAAACCCCACTAAAGACTGGTGAGCAGATTTAAAGGTTTAGAAATCCTATTGTTTCATAATAGCTGCTGTACTGGAATCTCTCAGTACAAAAAAAAAATCAATTACATACAATTTTACTATTAAAAACTGTATTTGTTAATGAAAACACAGCAACAAATAAAACCAAAGAATACTTCATGATCATGCAAATGATTAAGAGAACCAATGCCCTTTGCACTTCCTGTTCCTGTATTTGAGTCCCAGGCAAGCACTGCTCGACAAGAACGCCAATATTCTCTCTAAAACAGCACAGATGCCAAGCAAAGTGACATGGCAGAAATCCATTCATTTAAGAATACATTAGAATTTGTACAGTCCTCAGAAACACAAATTCTGGCATCTCCCCCATTTACAGATAGATTCTGGGCTTATCTTATTCTACTAGACTTGAACACTGGTGCGGTGTCTGGAGACATCCCGATGTTGCGTGGCCGTTTTCCCATGTTTTGATGCTCATTACCAAGATCAGCAACAAACCCTCTAACCTCTGTCTTGACTGCTGGCTCATTAAATCATTCATTATATTCTATACAGAAGAAACACAGCATTTTCTGTTGCATTTCCTCTGTGATCTTTTTTTAGGGCTGGAGATGCCTGTGGGGCTGAGCTTGTGCCTGTGCATGTGGCTACCACAGCTGACCACAATGGACTTCGTCAACAGCCACAGAGTTCACATCTGCACAGCCATGTACAAAAGGAAATTCTCTTGAATGGATGTTGCAGAACATCTTCTAAAGTGACCAGTGGTCCAGTGGAACTTCATTAGTGTAATCGGAACTGAAATCTTATAATTTTATTTTCAATGATCTCACGGTCCTCTGTTACCCAATTTAGTTCATTTGAATGACTGATTTCACACATAATATCAGACTCATTTGGTAGCCCAAACTTCCATCACTATATTACATTCAGATAGTTACAGAATAATCCACAGTAAATCAGGGCTGTAATTTGTCTCATAAAAACCATTCTTCCTCATCCCCTTAAAGTATATCAGCAAATACACATCTAAGGAAGAGTTCAACTCCACACTTAACTGCTAATGCACTCCTGCACCCGTAGAAAATGGAATTTAAAATGTAGGAATAACATATCATGCTCAGTATAAAAATGGAATGTGTGTGGAGAACTGTGCATCTAGACCTGCTCCATCCCCACCCCTGCCTGCAGCTACTGTTCCTGGGGCATCCCCACATTCTACCTGACTGTGATAACCACTACAATAATACTGCCTCCAGATACGGATCAGGCTCAGCCCCTCCCCCTCATGCTCAGGCCTGGCAATGACATCATCATCAGAGCGCTGTGGAATTCTGCCTGTCATCATCTGCGGAATCTCTCTTCTCTGCCTTCTCAGTATGGCCCAGAAACCAAGCCACAACACTGCAGAGGCACTGAGTGAAGAGGCCAACGCTCTTGGGGAAAACATAAAACTAGAAACAAAAATGGAGGCAGCTGGATGGGTGTTTGTTTGAACAGGAAAAAAAAATACCACAGCAAATCCTGATGAGCGCACCTTTTTTCTTTAATAAAAGTAGGAGCATCGGGCGTTCTGAGAAAGGATAGAACGGCAGTCTCCAGGGACCACAGGGAGAGTAAGCGAGTCCTGGCTTCTGAAGGAACTCCAAAGATCACTGTGGTGCTGAGCCCTCTGCTCTCTCATTTCTTCTGATGTGGGTAATACTGAAATTAGGAAAAGCAATCCCTTCCTCCATCACTTTTTTCTTCTCCTCCCTCCAGCTTTTTATCCTTATCCTTGTCTACCTTTCTTTGTTCATTGTAAACCTAAAAAGTGTACCCTCCAACCACAGGGCAGGGAACAAAGCCCAAAATAAATGTGGCCCAAAATAAATGATTTCAGCTAAAAGACAGCCATCAGAACATGTGCCAGGCTGGAAGCTTCTTTGAGAAACACGGTGATCGTGGTATACACCTCTGTCAGTCAAGGGCCAGTAGCTCCTTCCACTGGGGGTGATGGAGTTAATGGGGTGAAAGGCAGAAGACAAGCTAGAGGTCGCTGAGGTTGAGTTCAGGTGGGCTGTCAGACAGCTCACCCAGGTCCTCCTCGATGCTGAGGACTTCTTCCTCCTCATCCAGCCCACTTCCTGCTTCCCCATTGTCACTTCCTTCCAAGAGATGGTGAGGTCTGGTGCCTAGTTGTCACAGAGAGAGGAGAGCATGGTCTCAGCCCAGAGTGGAGCACTCACCACAGACTTTCAGCAGATGGCAACTTTTGTGAAGGTCAAATAGTCACAATGCAGAAAAAAGGGTCTTAAAATGAGCAATTATGAATCAGTTTCAACATAACGCAGACACAATGTTCAGCATTGGAATGACACAACTAGATGGAAGAAGCTTCACTTCTGCTCTATTTAATCCTTTAATTAACCAGAACATGTAACCAGTTAATGGAGAACAAATTCTCATCCACAATGATGAGCTGAAAAGTGCCGGTTAATCCTGCAAGTTATTTACTGGAGCAAATGAAGCACCTCGTCCAAGGTTACAACAGCATGTGAACCCAGCACCTTGGAGGGGCAGTTCTGTTAGTTACAGTGCTGCTGCCCCAATCCATGGAGAGCCTCAGGAAGCACACAATGCTGACCACAGCAGATGTGCTGCAGATGTGTTCTGCTGGTGTCTCTGAGAGGCAAGGCTCTTGACTGTAGCTCTGAGGGTCGATATATATGAACATGTATATATAGCATTACATGCCTTTAAAGACAAAATTATTTTAAAGTGTTAATACTGACACATCACTACCAGTACTGAAACAGTTAATAATTCCTTGTATGTTTATAGTGCTTTTAATCTCAAAGGATCTTAATGCATTGGCATATGGGAGGAGACCCACTTCATCCTCTAATGAAGCCCTGCCTGGGAGATATGTGGAAGGCAGTCTGCCAGCAGCCCCACTACAGATCAGGTAGAGAAGCAATAGCAGCATTGTTTTACCAACTGAATTAAGGGGGACATTAGACAGGCTCTCAACTGTAAAAGCCAGCTGGGTATTTAGACAGGTCAGTGGGGTTAACAGCTTTTATGAACCCTGTTCTGGGATCGTAATGGACTAAGTAGTCAGGACCTCAGGTAAACAATCCACCCAAATGACAGCACCTCCTGCACTACAGCATCTCCACTCACCACAATGGGACACTGGTTTGACAATACTGGTCGAGGGAGAAAAGTGCCACCTACTGGACCACCAGCACTCCTACTTGAAAAAAACACCTGGTTTTCCTTGGAGGTCTCCCATTCCAGTACTGACCAGGCCCAGCCCTGCTCAGTTTCTAAGATCAGGCTACAGCAGACGGTAATGCTGCTGCCAAACACTAAGTCATAACGATCGCTTACGACATTCGAAATGGAAAGACGAGGTGCGTTAAATAATAAGGGAGATGAAGGAGATGGAGGGAAAACAATAAAAGTGGGAGTGAACAAGCAGAGGCAGCTCAAAGCCGTTGTGCTGCCCAAGGCTGGATTGTGGCTAGCGACAGGCCCCCACAAGAAGCCAATAAACAGATCTCAGGCTTCTGAACTTGAGAGAATCAAAGAAACCTACTATTCTGATGCGTAGCAGCATTTGTACTTGTGTTCGTTTTGATGTTTAGAGCATGTCTGCAGACACATCAGGCGATGAGTAAGCCCATCAATCCTGAATGCTACACTTACAGGCCAGGGAGCTTTCCTACCACGGCTGACAAGCCCAGACTGGAGGGAGCTGATAACCTGACCCTGTTTTCACCTTCTGAAATCTGATACTCGTGCTCATCAGGTAGGACTTACACAATTGCAGGAGCAGCCTGGTTTTCCTTGGAGGTCTCCCAGCCCAATAGCAATCAGGACCAGGTTAAGGTTAAGATCTGAGAACTCACAAGATCATTTTCCTAAACACCTAATAATTTTCCAAGTTTTATTATAACATCAGGCTTTGGAGATTTGACACAAGTTATAAGTAGAGTTTCTGAGTGTATAAATATTGTACCATTGTGAGAACTGCTGTTGAAAAGACTGCTGGCGAGATGTCAGCAGAAAGCCCAGCACTGCCCTGTACTCTTGTTTTTCTTCAATTCTGCACAAGCAAACAAGCGCACACTCACAGCAAATAAACTGCATCTATACTTAAAATGACGCACTGGCAGCCTCTTAACCCTTAAAATAAGCATCCCTAAAGACAATAGAAATGTACAAAAGTATTTCCCAAATGTACAAATAATAGATTTCCCAAAATATTAGTAACATCTGTAGTATAAATATACCCCTAAAACAGACAGAGTTGAACAAGCTCCCAGATACAGACAGATGTTTAATCTGTTCTGAGCCTGAAGATTTCTAGACTGTCACTAATTTTAGTCCAAATGCAGATGTTAATATGTCGGGGCACGGTGTGTATATAGTCAAAAACATAAATTCCAATGACATAAGCATGGCAAAAAACAAATGGCTTTTTAACCTTAATACTTCCAGCAGGATGATGATTTTGTCAAGTCTGGCACAAAACAAAAAGGACAAATTGCAACTGCATGTGACACTGCCCTGTAGTCTCTCAAACCCTCCCCCTCTTTCATTTCCCTCCCTCCCCTGCACACTTCACGCGACTTCTCACTCGCTGCCTTCTGCCAGCTCTCTCTGTCCCTCCAGCCACCCCCGAGTCCATCTGGGCTTCCTGTCCCGTTCACCCTGCCTGCTTGTCAGAGAGCTGCCGAGGCCAGAGCACTGCCCCTCGTTAGCACAGGCAGATGAGAGTCATGGAAAACCACTAATCAGCTTCCGTGACAATCCCAAAAAACTCCAATTACAGGCCCTGGGAGAGCCATATCACCCTGCAACTCACAACTGACAACCCACTGAAGATCAGCAGGTGTGAGCCTGGTCAGCACCTAGATAAGAGCCCTCCTGGGAAAGCTAAGGTTGCTGCTAGAAGAGGTGTTAGTGGGGCCAGCAGGGGGCGCTCATCCTGCGGTCTACCTGGTTCCTAATGCCCAAGTAAGGTGACGGGGATGCTATACTGTAAAAAGGCGCGGTCCTTCGAATGAGACGTAAAACTGAAGTCCTGACTCTCTGAGGTCATTAAAAATCCCAGGGCATTTCTCAAAAAGAGTAGGGGCGTAAATTTCCCATTGGCCCTTACTAATCATGGCCTCCTAATAATCCCCATCTATGAATTGGCTTAATCACTCTATTCTCCTCCACAGTAATAGCTGGTGTGTGGTGAGTGTTCTGGCACACTATGGCTGCTGTCACATCATCCAGGTGGGGCTGCATTACCCCATTACTTGTAAAGCGCTTTGTCCAGAAAAGAGCTACATAAGTGTACATTATTATTATTACTTCTGCTGTGGGGACCCCCCACCTCTTCACCTCTGCTGCCAGGCAACTGTAAATAAACCCCTGGTGCATGATGTACTGAAGGAAACACCTGAAGAAAAAAATATGAAGTACATTTTTTTACATGCTTTGGTTTAAAAAATAATTGGTGAAAGTATTCTTCAACTTTTAACTTTTCATAAATGAAATAACGAAACAAAACACTCCTGGGATTCGTAACTGGAACCAGAATCCTGGTGAGCCACCGTGCCTCTGGTGTGATTTTGGCCATTTTACCTTTCTGTAGACTGAAGATCTTTTAGTTCTGCTAGAAAGCAGGAGTCTATGCTCCTTTCGTTCCTAGAACAAAGAACCCTGAGAGCATGTCAATTCAGGATCCATGGGAATGCACTTAAAGCTGCCAAAGCCCAAGATAAACGCAGCTGACATCTACATTTCTGCTCCAGGACGTTACAGACAGGCCACAGCTCCACAGGCTCACCCGAACAGCTCTTGGTGACCCTGATCTCTGACTTGCGGGCAGTGCCTGAAAGGGTTAAGGTGCCTTCAGGGATGTACTGGTCTCTAGCATGCACAAGCCTGCACTCTCAACCGCAGTGCAACAATCACCCAGCTTTAAAAAAATACCTCCTTTATTCCTTCTCTTTTGTTCCTTTGTTCCCAGAATCGCCATGCTAGGAAGGGGACGGTCTGTTTGCTATACGGCTGAAGTGCTCCTTAAGCCTGCTTTTTGAAGTGGGAGGCTTGATCTGCACCTGTGGGCTGTGCAGCTGGCAGGGCTGCTAAACAGGCTGTCACTCAGCGAACAGGGTTTAGCTCGGGATGTCCCAGACCCAGACCTCTGGACTCAATTACCTCTGAGCTCTCGAATTACTTTACTGAGCCTTCAGTTCAACTCGGGATAGTTTAATCAGACCTGTTCTATTGTTTGCTGCTGCTGCTGCTGCTGCACATTTCCAGCTGTCTATTAAAGCTCGAGTGCCGGGGTGCTGTTGCAGGCTGCGTACACCTGATCTCTCGTACCTGTTCGAGGCTGTGGCGGGGCAGGCGTCTCGGACAGCAGGGACAGGTCCTCTGAACTGACGTCCCCCAGGCTGAGGCTGGGACTGAGCTCGCCCTCCGAGTCCTCTTCCAGCAGGTCAGAGCCCCCTGATTCTCTGGACTGCTGGTGCTGCCTCCCGCTCACACAGTCACCTGGGGACAGGAGGAATTACAGGGACAGAGGAACAGCCGGAACAATTTTATGAATGAACACAACACCGGCCTTTCCATGTCGGAACACCTGAGCTGAGCCTGGCTGAGCCCGGTGGAGCCAGAACCTCACAGGAACCGCCCAGCGCAGCTCCGGTCAATGGTGCACGGAACACAGAAGAGAAAAAAAATCTTCAAAGAGAAACATTTGGAGTCAATGACGATACAATAATTCTTTGCATTTTCATCCCAAAGCACTACCAATAGGGGGACACATCCAGCAGAAGTGCAGCACACACCTGGGTGACGGAGGCAGCCCGCCACACAGCAGATCTCAATAACAGCCACACGTAACAGCCACACGTCACTTGGCTCCCAATGGACCCAAGGCAGGTCATGTGTGTAACAGCAATGGTGTTTCACTCCCCCTAGTGGTCACAAGCCCTTAGTGCAGCACTGGTGCTGGATACATCCAAGCTCAGGATTCCCAGGTCAATATAAGTGGCACACGATCTGAGTTTTTTTTTCTGTTATGGTAACATTGGTCAAATTGCTGATTTTACCTGCCCTCCGTGTACCATGTGATGACATAGGCTGGCTGTCAGCAAGCCTCAGCCCTCTCATCTCATCCTTCAGCTCAGACACACAGGACCTGGGGGAGGCACCACCACAAAATAACAAGGTCAGAGGTGCGGTGAAAGAGAACACCACCCAAAAGCCATGACACCAGCCTTAAACCACGCAAATCACATTCACCTCACCTGATACCCTAGAATCACAATCACAAGACACAGGCTTGCAATGCTTGAAGACACAGGAACATCTGCCCAGAAGAGGATGGAAACATGATGCTAGACTCAGTTACAAACCGCACTGATTAAGAGAAGATTCCTACACATTTTCTAATATCGTTTTAACTCTACACACTGGCCCACCCTTATGAAAGACTAACACGCGTGACATTCCCTGCACCTTGAGCTGCTGCTGTGCAGGAGCTGGCAGCTCGATCAAAGCAGAACTGTTGGGCTCTGGTGGACTGTGGGACTGACAGCAACCAGCTGTGCAAGATGTACCGAGCAGAACTCCCCTCACCTGGCACAAAGCAAAACAGTCTCAGTCTGAAGAATCTGGCTCCAGCTGTGTACGATGGCTTTCAGAGGACTGGATAGCTTGAGTGCCTCTCAGGATGTCAGGTCCCAGAGGAAGATGCACCCCCACCCCCAGAGCCCACCGCTGTGGCCTGTTCTACACCCCTGAGCGGCGCTCTGACCTGAGGCTGTGCAGATCATGATGTGCGCTCTGCTGCTGCGACAGCGTCCTCGTCAGGTCCTCCGCGTGGCCCCTGTAGCTGTCCGCCAGGCTTTCCAGCATCTGCAGACGACAGAGGTCTGAGCACAGTTCTTTCAGAGCCACTCCATGCCGAGGTCTCTCTGTATTCGTGTGTGAGCAGGTGTTTTTCATATAACAGGGGGATTCCCGGTGCACCTACCTTGGTATTGCGCTCATACTGTCGCCTCATGTCCCTGGTCTCTGAGATCTGGCTCAGCAGGTCATCCTCCTGCCTTCCTGCAAGGCCACACATATACGAAGAGCCAGGAGGCTCACAGATCACTCCCTGTGGGAAATACAGCGCAAGCCTTCCCTGCACGTCCCATTCTGCACCGCAGCAGTAAGCAGACTGTCAGTGTGGAACACAATGCACGACTCGCACAGAAGCCCCACGGTGACACGCAGTCATCGTGATTTCATCATGAGAGATTTCTTACAAGGCCAGCTACATTATACACCAACCCACCAGGGCACCACACTGGCTCACTTCAAAGATGTGCTGCATGAGGGTCATGTATGAGAAGCTGGGCTTCAGTGTTTATTATTAGATGCAAAACGTGACAGTTTTCGTTTGTTCATCAGTTTACTGCTCTTTAGACACTTCTACAAGAAAGTTTTAAGTTATTTAAAAAAATGTAGGTCATATTCTGGATCTAGCTTTCAGTCTTACGGCTTCCACCTATAAAGAGTTGTTATACTGGAGTGATGTACAGAGGTGTGACCTCCTGTTACAAAAGATTTCACTCCGTTTTTCAAAAAAACACAGACTCTTAAACTTCTGATCTGAATGAATTAGGTTTCAGAACCTGAAAAAGTAAAAAGGCCATAAGAGAGCAGCATCTTAAATCCATACTATCTTGCATTTAGCTTCAATGGCACAGCTTGTGTTTTGATCACATTAACCGGATCATCAAATGTGCCAGCAATTAAGTAGCTGATCACAAGCAATCTTGACAATGGAGTGAAGTCTTTAATTGAGTTTGATTACATTTCATTTAAAACCTAATTTTCATAAAACTACCCAAGCCGCCACAATTGTAGCGAAGGAGTTTGAGAGCTGAAACTCTTCAGAGTCTACTGTGCATCTTCCCAAGTGTCATTGCAAACTGTAATGAGAAGATATCATTTGTACTATAATATTATAACATATAGCAGCACAACATAAAATTCAATGGGCTGTGTGACATCACTACATGGACACTCAATAAAACCATTCCTCTAGGTTTGTTCAGATAAGAACCTGCATCAGGGTCAGTTAGGGTCACATTCAATTTCACCTAAGTTCATAATAAAAAATCATCATGCTACTCTGCTAAACCTGACTCCAGGTTGTGCGTGGTTGTGGAGCATCCACTCCTAACAGTAACAGCGCACACACACTGCCTAAGTGTGAATTACGTGTAACAGTGAAACACGAACCAAGGGACACAAGTGGAAACAATGCGTAAGTGTATTTAGGACTGAGAGCAGGAAGCAGTGTACACAAAGGACTATGGGAGCATGGACAAAGCTGCCCTGCCACTCTGCTGCAGTTCATAACCTGGCTTCTTTCAAGAAATGGCCTGGAGAGATTCTAGGATTACATCCAATCTGTCAGGTACACTGCAGCAACTCGGCGCACTCCAAACAGTGGGGAAATGTTCTTATGTTTAATTAACAAGTGAGGTTAACCAGTCATGGGCAGGCTGGCTGGCTGGGGTGAGTCAGGAACTCACTCAGTTTGTGCTTCAAGTGATCCAGCTCCCGTTTCAGCTGCTCCATCTCCTCCCGCTGCAGTTTGCCACTGAAGCTTCAGGAACGAAAAGAAGAGATTCCATTAATGATGTAGCACGCGCATGCCCATCCCCAAACTCCTCACTCTCCTGATCCCACTGGAGCACTGTCTCCACTCTCCACCCCTGTCCCTCACAATACAACCGCCCCAGAGTATTACCCCTAATACATACCCCACCCCAATCACGGGCCTTAGCCTGCTCTCGAAAGCCTGCTAGAGGTCTGCACAAGCATGAAATTGAAGCCCGTACCCGAGACCTTGAGACCTGACCCGGCCGAGCCCGAATGGTACTGCCAAATTTGAAACCCGAAACCGACCCGAAATCGGTCACTCTCTTTTCCTCTCATGACCCACGAGGTCATAATGTTTCCATGATGAAGCCGTCCCCGACTCATTTGACATTTTGAGCAGTTCTGCCTTTGTAAGTTTTCGTTTTTACTTCATCCATTGCGAACAGTTAGCTAGGCAGGCTCTGTTACACACATACGAGAGAGAGAGAACGAGCGAGCATGCAAAATGAGTTGCGAATTTCTTCTAATAAAAATCAATTTAAAACATAAAATGATAATAATTCATTTTCACTTTTGAGAAAACCATCCCGAACCCGGCCCGAAACCCGATACTTTGTCAGGCCCCGTTGGGCTCGGGTCGGGTAGCAGACCTCTAGATCCTGCCCGCCCCACCCCCTCACCTGTCCTGCCGTGCAGCCACTCTCTCCAGCTTCTCTGTCAGGCTCTGCAGCTCCCCCCTGACCTCCCTGCGCCACTGGTCCAGCCTGCCCTCCGTCTCCGAGCCCCCCCTCTCCCTCTGCTGCTCTCGGTCCCGCAGCCTCCGCACTTCCTCTGAGAAACGAGGACAAGTCTTCAGCCCCGGGAGCCCAAACCAAATGGGGGGCTGTGGATTCCAGCTGCCGTGCCGTTCATCTCCGCCAGCGGCGATCCACTCCGTGAGCGGATCAAGGTTCCGGCTTCACCAGAAACACGGCTTCAGATGGGACTGAGACTTACAGGTGGGTAAATCAAAAGAAGAAGTAACAACAAATTGCAAGAAAATAGAGTCTTAAGGAACCAGGCCCTTTTTCTCTGGATGCCAAATTGGGAAGCTTACGCAGGTCTCCGGAAGAGCAGGACTCCACTGAATCCAGCCAGTGTCACTGCACCTTTTAGATTAATTAATTCCTTATTGATATGTTTCTACATCATTCTGGACAGAGGATCGATACAAAAATGATTTGGCTGGAGCAAAGACTCAGATGGCAATAAATGGACAGCCAGCCCCAGAACAGCATACCTCACTAAATGAATCCAGCTCCAGAAAGTAAACTAAAATGCACAGCTAATAAAACATTTGAGATTGTCTAGTGGGAAGCTAGACCTTTAGGTGTCTGATAGACTGGTAGAAAGAAGGGAAGCACAGAGGCTTTGTCAATAGGATGCGATTCTATTACTGCGGGATATCGACTTTCACAGCTTAGGTTAGCAATCTATTCCATTTAACTCCTCACATTCTAGTTGCTGAACTGTGCCGAAATAAGCAAGCGCTCAACTTCCTAAAGAGTGCCCACCATGTGTGCACCGAAACTGAAGTAATTAAGATCTTTTATGGTGTAACTCGTGCCTTTGAACCACTACAGTCATCTGGTTTCTTTCCTCCAGACAGTCTCTACAGGAGGTCCTTTGGGGGCATGTCTGCCAGTTTTCTATGCCTCTTTAAAGCAGCCTGGACCAGGAGAGCTGGGAGAAGTTGTTAAATTGATCCAATGAAATCAATAATCAGCTGATTTAGGTTGTAATAAGACCTGCAGGCATCCTGGTCCCTCCAGGACAAGGACTGAACAGCCCCAGTCTAACCATTCTGCTTACTGGTACCTGACATGACTCTGACCTTGCAGTGCCTGTAGGTGCTGCTGCTGTTTGTCTCGCTCCCTCTCCAGCAACCTCACAGCCTGCGTCAGGGACTGGATGGCCTGCAAGGAGAGGGACAGGTCACATTGAAGGCACCTGCGCCCGATGCGGGTTTTGGGGGTGGGGGGTTATGATCACTAACTGATTGTGACCAGGACTCCCCCGGCAGCCCTGTCACGATGAGCCAGCCACTGCAGGAGGCAGGATCACCTGGGCGAGACCCCTGGGGCTTACGGTGCTCTTGGCAATGAATGCGACTCTCCTCCAATCGGAGCTGGAGCTTGGCGCTGCCTGTGACGTGTTAAAAGATCAGCAGCTCGAAGGTGGGCAAGTTGGCCTACACCTAGAAGCCGAGAGGTGGAAAAACACAAACCTGGCAACTCCAGATCGAGACAGTAGAAGAAAAACTGTAGACACACCTGAATAAAAAAAACACACTGAACAATTTTTAAGAACTCGAAATGGACCAGAAATCTGGGACATCAGTGAGCTCCAAAGCGCCGTGCTTTCAGGGGGCTCTCACCTGGCTCTGGTCCTGCAGCCGCGACAAAATCTCCGGCAGCTGTCCCCACTGCTTGCCAGCGCTGGGCACGCCCGAGAGAGGGGCTGAGGGGCGGGACAGCGGGGACTCCTCAAAACACACACTGCGGAACTGCCCGCTGTCGGGGTACACGTCTGAAAGCAAGAGACGGGAACGGACGTCAACGTGTTTGTCACTGGAGAGATGGCACAATGGTGCACAAGGGTGATAACTGGGGAGAGCCGGAAACATCATCGTTCTCATTCAAATGCTCCCATTATCCCGGAGTGTTTTAAACTCGTCCTCGACACTGCCACACATAGAAAGACCCCTAGAACGCGAGTTAAAAGGTGGAGAAGAGACAGAGAATGGAGGGAAAAGTCACTGCACTTACAGTATTAGTGGCCCTTAAACAAAGATTAAAGACTGACAGGGAGACTGCCAGCCTTTCCCAGAAATGCATTTAAGATGTCCTGCTACAGAACACTTCATTCAATGCATCTAAAGAAAAAAAAATGCAGAAGTAAACACATACCTTTGGAGAAGTGACTTGCTGTGTTCAGTCTCTCCTACAAAAACAGTAGCCAGAAAAAATGAATAAGGCAGCCTTAACCCTTAACCCCTGACCTCTGACCCCAGCAAAGCCCAGCATTCTTAAGCCTGGCAAAGACAAGCTCTATGGACAAACTATGGACACATCTGAAGACAGTTTGCCAGTTCACTGATGATTCTTTTGGATCAATGAAGCTTCTAGCAAACTTTTAAGAGGATGACACTACTGCTGACTCTTGCAATCGCATGCCACTACTCCTGACTGTCGAACAACTGACAAACAAGGGATGTCATGCACTAGGAGACAGTCACATACCGGTAGACAAATTCAAGCGTGAAACATGACATTTTACTGGCTTTGGAAAAGGTTAAAACGCTTTTTATGCCCAATGCAATGACTGGAAAGACTTGAGCTGCTCAATATGGCAAATGAACTCAGATGTAAGACCTTTAAATGAGCGCTCTGGAAAAAGACTAAATATCAACAGTAACATTTTCATTCAATTGGAAGGTTTACAAAAAACCTGAACGAAAGGAAATGTTTTACTGTTGCCAACCATGAATGCAAATGAATTATATGCCGACAGAGTATCGGCTTCAACGACATGACCGAGTAGCTTCTGCAGCCCTGTGGGGAAAGACATGCTTCCTGTTCTAGGTTTTAAAAGCACTTTCAGGTAGTTTCACTCGTGCCCACTGGTTCACGTTTCACTGTTCACTCTGAGGGAATCCACTGGATTTAGTGTCTTTTGAGGATTTTGAATACCAAATCCTCTCAGAGTTTTCTCTAACCAAGACTCAAAGCTCTAGGCTAAGTTCCTTCATTCATCAGTGTAGGACATTCTCTTGCTCCACAGAATCTACCTAGTTGCCCTTCTGGAGACTGATTCCAGAGCAGCAGCTTCCCTCCAATAATGTGATCAAACTGTACCCCTCGGAGCATCCACTCCACACAGGCCCCAGCCTGACCCTCAGAGAGGACTGGAACAGTCAGGATCTCAAGGGGGAAAGCAATCCAGCCAGGGCCACAGGTCAGGTTGGGACTCACCCTGATTTTAGCCACGCTGCCATCCGCGGCCGACAGCACGGCACTCAGCTGGGAATCCCAGTTCATGACGGGCTCGGGGCTCGTCCGGCATCCACACGCTGCCTGAACAGACACACACAAGCATGCAAGCACTGATCAGTGGCCGGATAAACAAGCTCCAGCACTACATGTGCATTTGGCTCAGGAGCACAGTGGAGCAGCCAGTTCTGACCCCCCAGTGCTGCTGCAGCAGAAAGAGCACCGTCACCCTGGCAACAGGAGCGAAAAGCCCAGCTTTCGCAACAGCGGAGTTCTGTTCATCAGCGTTCTGATGTCACAATGGGGGTGTTGAAACAGCAGAGGGGCTGGGACATCTGAGACCATAACACAGCTTCACAGCGCCTCTCTGATCAATAACCCTCGATCAATAACCCACTAACACCTCCCCTCTGCACTCCATATCAAACACTTCATCTTAAATGGGTCACGTCTGACACTTTCAATTCGGTTTGCGATGACATTCTACATTTTCTCTGTTTTGTTCAGCATCGGTACACTGGGGAAGCCTGAAAAAGGAAAGGCCATTCTGACACACCCGCCTGATTTGGTAGCAGGCAGTTGTTTCTGCAAAAATACAAAGGAGATGAACCAAAAGTCAGACACTGGTCAAAAAAGAAATTTTAAAAAATTACAAATTAATCTTGAGAGACATAACCCTTCCCCTTCTGTCCTACCAAATTGCATTGCTGTTACCTCCTTGTGTTCACAAGCAGAAGACTCACTCACTCTCTCTCTAGTGGCTGGTGCTGGATTAATTATTCTGAAATGAAATTCCCCATCCCAAATTGTTAATTTTGCAACACTGGCAGGTTAAGGTGTTGTCGTGTGAGACTATAGAAGGTTGTGCCGTGCCTGTAGGAAACGCTGGAAAAGTCACCGGTTTTGATCAGTTCGGAGGGACTGCCCGAGGATTACATCTGCTGACACAAAGTAAGGCACCATATCAGATACCCCTGCATTGTAGCATCACTTTCACCTGACCAAGATGCAGACTGCGTAAGAATTATAAACAGAAACCTCGTGGGGTATTGGACACGAAGGTGTTTGTACAACGCTTTTTGGTCTGCGTCTCATCTGTCGACGGCAGACTACGCAAAATATTTTTTTTTAGAATACTAAGCTAAAGAAGCCGTCTTGGGGGTGGTAGTTCAAAGGCAATAGTGCTGGTTAAAGCTAACTTGAGAAACTGGTTCATTTATTTTCGAGGTAATTTCACTGCACAGCGTAAAACTTTAAGTGGCGTGCACCACCTTATCGTTATGTCAACAGAGTGTAGGTTAAGTCATTCATGAAATTTGAAAAATAATTTTCAGTTTTCAGAAGAGACAAAAGAGTCACAATTCTTAGTAAAACGATGGTGCTCAAGAAAAGATCATAAAACCAGCGCATACTTACAATTTCGTTTTTAAAACTGGGAAAACGAGCGCTGCATTGAGTTTTTTATCATAATCCTTCTATATCTCTTTTAAATCACCTACAACTGTCGCGCCGCTTTCACGTCTTGCGTCTCCGCTACTGTGCGTGTAAACGCTATCCCCAGGTAAGCGTCCTTATGGGAGTTGTAGTTTTATTGAATGCTGAGGCTGAGGACTACGATCACCACAGTGCAGTGCGCTAAGGTTGAAAATGTTATGGCGGAGTCTGGCTCCAATGTTGAAATCGTGGAGGGGAGGTTACGTGAAGTTCTGACTCCCCTTGGCTTCGAGGTTTATCCTTTACAGGTAGAGCTCAATGAAAACAGTGAGGGCTAGGGGTACTGCTGCAAAAAACCTAACTTGAATGCGATAAATAATAGTACATAGACGCGTTTTGATTAGTGTCTCCAAAGTAATGTCATCTTTTCCACAAAAAGATTCCTAAAACAAATTTCCTAAAGTTTGTGCTAGTTCACTGTAATGGAATAAAAATAGTTTCCTCTTTTTTGTTGATTTTGTTTTCATTTTTATGTGGCAAATATTAAGGTGCTTAAGCTGTTTTTTTCTGTATGCATGGAGAACACGCGATTGTTATCCACAATAAAGGAAATTGTGACAGATTAAGAAATGTATTAGTCTTTCTTGAATTCAGCCCCTGGAGCCTGTTACCTTGAATTCTCTAAAGCCTGAAACCGCTTAGGACAGCCGTGCGGAGGGGCCTGTGTCCGGCATGAGCTCACGGTTTGTGTTTGTGTCGTCCCGGCAGGTGGGCTGGTACAATGCAGTGTTGCCGCCCTCGCTGCACCTCGGCCACCCCAGCGACACGCTGGCCGCGGTGGTGCTGAGCGCCCCCGCCATGTTCGAATCCAGCTTCCTTCCCTTCCTGAGGAGCCAGGCGTGCGGCAGTGTCAGGGACCCCATCGACCAGTGCGTGGCACACTACCTCCCCCGCGCCGTCGCCCAGGTACCCCCGGTGCCCGAGCACACCTGCACAGGCCATTGAGAGGCGCTGCCGAACACGTGGAGAGAACCGAGGTTCAGGGTCAGGGCTGGGCTTAGCTTTTTCTCTGGAGTTGCGTATTGTTGTCTCTGTATGGCAGATTTCCAAGGCTCCTCTACAAAACCGCCTGATCAAATTCTTTGGGAGAGCAGGCAGATATTCTGTGGCCCCCCACCCCCAGTGTAACTCCTCTGTCCTCTCCCCTCCCTGCCCGGCTGCAGTGTTTCCCGGGACAGCAGGTAGAGATCAGCTATGACTATGAGATGCTGCCCAACCGGAAGCCCAAGTTTCTGGCCCAGACCGCCGCCCATGTGGCCGGAGCAGCGTACTACTACCAGCAGCGGGATGTTGCTGACAACCCCTGGGGGAACAAGGCGAGTACGCCGGGGTGTCAGAAAGACACAGGTGGTCCACAAGGGGGCTGTCAAATGCAGACAGGGAGAGTCTCCAGCTCTGCTGTCCATTCATATGCTTTTGGTTTAGTTTGTGTTACAAACATACATAATTACCCAGAGTAAAGAGGAGCCTTTCTCGGCTTTAGCGCGAGAATCTTCCTGAATTCGACACACGCACATCTTGTTTTAATGACGAGAAGGAAAAAAAAATATTTTTCTTTCCTGTGCTCAAGACTTTGCTCTGGTGAGTATAAATGAACCAAAATACTAGATCATCCTCAACCAATGACATAGGGATGTCCCTGCTGTGCCTCAGTTACTTTCTGAAACTCAAGACGCAAATCGTCCAACCCAATACAGTTTTGCAGTTAATACAAATTAATTGTATTTGTTGAGGCACAGCTTGGTTTTCCCCTGCTTTCACTCTTCAGTTCCTGTGACTGTTGTAGTTATTATGTATCTCGTCTTGAACGTTCAGTTAACATTTTTGGCGCCCAGTCGGTGCTGGAACGGTTGTTGAAAGAGGCAGGCGGCTCTAGAGAGCAGGGACGTTCCAGAGATATTGGGAGGCAGAGGCTGGTGTGGGCCAGCAAGGGCGTTCGGAACTGAGCCGTGAGGGAGTTCCTGAAGTCAGTTTGTCTACCCATCTGCGTGTCTCTCACTCCCTGCCCCCCCTGTGCTGCTGCAGAAAATGTTCGGCGTGTGCGTGCACCCCCGGTTTGGCGGCTGGTTTGCCATCCGTGCCCTGCTGGTGTTCCCGGGGGTGGGAGCAGCCGGGCTGGAGCAGAGGGACCCCCCGGACTGCGTACCCACTCGCGAAGACCGGATCCGGCTGCTGGAGAGATTCAACACCTGCTGGCAGGACTGGAGCTACCGGGACGTCGTAGCCCCCGCAGAGCGGTACTCCGAGAAGCAGCGGGCCTACTTCTCCGCCCGCCCGGCCGATCGACTCGCCCTGCTCCGAGACTGGGGGCTCCTCCGCAGTGAGGACCCAGGACAGCGCGCGTCCCCCACTCCTGCAGAGCCTGGTAGCCACAAAGGAGGTGAGATGGCAGGCGATGGACCATTTTATTGACCTCTTCCACCCGGAATTGAGCTTCATAAAACAGGAAGGGACTACAAAAGAGCTTATCGCCTTTAACAGAGGCAGGGCACTCTATTCATTTATTCACGGGGACAATGGTGTGTAATCTCGCCATACACACCCACGCCAGGGACAGAGAGCAATTGTAAACCAGGTTTTATTTTTTCACATTCCTTAGCCTGACTGCAGCTCATGTCTGGAGACACAGAAGGCCTTTATGCTCAGATTAAAACATTTCAACCCACCTGTCAATCATAACTTGCTTACCCCATACAGGTCTTCTGGAGTTTACAGTCCTAGAGGGCACCAGGAGCTTCTTCAGGTTTATATTCCAGCCATACTCCTGATTGGACCAGCGATGGAGTTAATTTCTCAATCATTAACCACTTCTTTAGCACAGCTGTAAAAACTGAGGGACCGAGATTCTACAGAACGAAAGATGGGGATCGCTACAGTTCTTGATGGGGGGGTTCACTGCTGTAAATGCAATAATCCTCAGGCAAAACCAACAGAAACCCATCAAGTTCCAAATCTGAAATGCTGTACACTGCTGTGCAAAACGTCTCGACAATTTGCATTATATTCTGGCGATGTTTTCCTTTGTTTATGCAGAAACACCAGTCTTTGATGGACATTCTAATGAAACTTAGCCATGTTAAGAGCCTTGATAAATCTTAACACAAAAAGTATTGTTTCAGCTTCATGGATCTGTCGGGAGGAACACTGACCTGTGTCAAGGACAGCTAATTGGTAAATGGGACGGATTAGGTGCTATCCTTTACCTGGAATTGTTGTGATCAGGTTTTTGAAGATGCTGATGAAGGTGCATTAAAGATTGTTAATGACAAACCTTGTTTCTCGTCACTCTAAGTAAGCTGTATAAAGTTGAATAATGAAAGGCAATACTAAGTGAAGACTTTGAGTAAATTGTTGATGTTCATAACATGTTGCCACTCCAGATGGTCTTGATGTCAGACAGATCTGCACAGCAGCACACTTGATCGATTTCATCTCGGTCCAGTTTTAATTTTAAATGTACATGAAATGAAATCATTTGGCTGAAAAATGCAGAAACAAAAAAAATCATCCCACTTGCATAAATGTTAACTTGTATTCAGTTGCCTAACGTGCAGACACTCTTGATTCACAAGGCTCTTTCATTAACCCTCCCCCCCAGAGAAAACAATGTAGACACAGTCACACGAATCTTTCGGGATGCTTTTTTCAAAAAACGTTCATGTTTGGCTTTGGAAACTTCATATTTTGTTTCTTCTTTTTTCTGTTCTGGTTTTCATAGAAAGCCAAGCTGTGCGCCTCCTCATGTTGCTCATCATTCCATTGGTTTTTCAACTAGTTTAAAATTTCCTTTCAAGGAAATGTATCAATTAACAATTGTTTAAATAACAGGGGACAAATGCTGTGACAAAAAAAGTCACCTTCCTCCATCTGAAATATTGCAAGAGCAGCTTTCTTCTAATAATAATACTTTCTTAGCTTAGAAGCTTTCTTCTAATACTAATAGCCCAGGACACTGGGGTTAACAACCCTACTCTTTGAAAAAAATGCCCTGGGATTTTTAATGGCCACAGAGTCAGGACCTTGTTTTTATGTTTGATCCAAAGTACAGTGCGTTTTTCATAGTATAGTGTCCCTATCGCTACAGTATACTGGGGCATTAGTGCCCACACAGACCACAAAGAGAGCGCACCCTACTGGTTCCACTAACACCTCTTCCACCAGTAACCTCCGCTTTCTCAGGTGGTCTCCCATCCAGGTTCACACCTCACACCTGCTCATTTATTGGGTTGCTAGTTACGTGTTTCCCTCTACGAAAAACCAAGGCCTTCCTAATGGGCCAACTAATAATGACACACCTAAATCACTTGACTTCATTCAATGGCATGAGACTCACTAGTGAGGCGGCAGTCTGACAAAACTGGTCCAAGGTTAGAAAAATGACAAGATTTAAACCTTAACGAAAGATCTTGCAGTGTAAAGAGTGCTTCCGAAATCAGTTGTAGAACACACTCCCGACGGTAAGCTCACACAGGACATACAAGGAAAGCCTTCTAACGTACAAAGAGACTGAAAAGATTTTTTCATTTTTATTATCAAGATTTATTTTATTTTTTTTAATAATGCAACATTTGGCATCCATGATTAAACACCGTAAACTGCAGAGAGATGCTAAAGTTTCATGATAAGGGAGGAGTGAGGAGGATGGAACTGAGGGCACTATCAACACCCCCTTCTAAAAGCTGACGGAAGAGCAGCTGTACCTTTCCTCCAGCTGAAGTATCTCAGCACCATGCTGCAGAAGACACCACACACAGCAGATTTTTAGTTGCGGGAAATTGTGGAAATGACTACCTGACCCACATCCTTGGGAGCCCAAATCCCTGCTGGACTTTGGTCCAACAGGGCTCTGAATTCCTTACCCAACAGCTATTGGGAACTAGTCTCTTGCTTAATCAGACCTTTGGAACAATTTCTAGCTCACAAAGAGCTGTTTATTTCAGTTTTTAAATTCTTGTCATCAAATTGAAAGCTGCAGAAGAAAAATGGCTCTCATTAACCAAAATTGAAGTTCAATTCAGAAACCGTGATGCCAACAATGCAAACCAGGAAACAACTATGCTACAGGAAAGAGGGCTGCGTACATTCCTAGGCTGTTAAAATTCTTGATTAATATTCCAGGTTTCCCCAAAATCTGTGATTCCCTGCCATCATCTGCTGTAAGTCAGGGACAGGATAACTTGGCTTTGCCTGTCCACAATCAGTTTATTAATAGTATCACTGCCCTTCAGTTCTACAATTGGCCCCCATACAGATCACTTCAATATTTTCAGGAGGAGGAATGTGGAATGAAGAACTGGGTCTGTCCAAATGTCTGGTTACCAGCATCAATCACAAGTCATAAAAAACAGAACTTGATTGGCAGCACAGGCCTCTTTATTCAACCCTCCAAAAATCCACTGTAAAACCTGTTGTAACTTGCATTCAGCATGTGGGTCAAAAGCCATAATCTGGTCCAGTCCATAATCAGTGTATCCCAAGGATGAGTGCATTTGGAGATCTCCTTTCAGTCTCTCACAAAGCTTCCAAAACAGTCTTCTGACCCAAAGCTACACAGGATCCCCTCAGATCTTACGTCACTTGAAGGAATTATTTACTTTGCAGGAGCAATCTGCCATACAAAATATTCTTATAAAGTTAGCTCACTTATTCAAACAACTATCTGAAAACTACGTACTGTGAGGTGCATCACAGAACACACAGGCTGTCCCAGGGGTTTAAAAAAATGTTTTTAAACTCTAGTTTCCACGCTCATAGGAATGTATGTCCCGCCACTGCTACCCAGTTCACAATTTTCACAATACAGTTCTTTGGAAAGACTAATTTTACGAGTCCCCTGTAGATTTCCCAGGCTCTAAAGGAACCGGCTCAGGTTCAGCTGGCAGGTGTTTCAGGCACGCAGGATTGGGCGCGGGCCAGTGTGGAGTGGCCCTCTGCTCGCTGTCCTGTGGGTGCTCACTACCGCTCTCCCCTCCCACCCACTCCCCCCCCCCGTCTCCCCGTGATCCGTCTCTCTCCAGGCCGGTGGTGCAGGTGAGGGAGCTCAGTGGTGGTAGGGCCTGACCCACCCCAGCAGGATTCGGCCGTAATTGGCTGTCATGCCCACCAGCCCCAGCAGTGCGATGGACCCGAAACTCCCACGCGCCCGCTTCTTCGGGTCTGCGGGCAGAAAAAGAGAAGCCCAGTGAACAGGGGTCCCAGGTCCCTCATGAGAAGAAAGCATTGTTGCTCGTTTTAACAGCTTTGGATTTCGTGGTCTAGCCTCACCTCCAGTGGAGTAGCCGTGCGCGTACACCTCTCTGCTGATAACCCAGGTCATCCCCAGGGCACTGGCCAGGCGCTGCAACAATACACAGTGTGAAGCACAATCACTGCACACCAACAGTCCCTGCAGCAGGGGGTTCACACGGCACATTCTGCTGGAGCAATATGCTTTACACAAACACTCTCCTACAGGCCTAGTTACTGGAGATGTACTGTACTACAAGTCTGATGCGCAGTGTAAACCCAGAACAGACAGTCCTGAGCTCTTTGCTCACAGAAGCAGTTCTCATACAGAATAAAAAAAAAAGATTACAAAGATCAGACATGCTAGGTCATTCTTTCAGCAGAATAAAAACGCAAAAGGCTTTCCAAAAAGCTCGATGACATGCAGCAAGACAGTGTCAGAAGCCAGCCCCTCCTGTGTCCCATCATTCACAAAAAACATCCAGGATCCCTTCTGAATTAATGCTGAATACTGCATATAAGGCCTAAAACAGCCCAAACTGCTCTACCAGGGGTTGCTAATGCTGGCCTCGGAGACCCACATACAGTACCTGCTGCTGGCTTTTGTTCCACCTCTCCGCTTAATTATATAACTGAACCCTTAACTGACCAGATTATAGATTTAATCTGAACTCTTTGTTTACATGTATAATTATAAATAACTTAAGACTGCTAGCTTTTACAGGACAAGAATTTGTTTTTTGCCAAGGTTCCAGCGCAGCCACTTGCTGGTTCGATTAAGGATTTGTCAAGGAGCGCAGCTGCAATGAAAGCCAGCAGGAGTGCGGCCCCCAGGACGAGGATCAGAAACCCCTGTGCTACGCGGCTGGAGCTGTACAGAGAGCCACAGGCAGCACTACTCACCGGGTTATGGAGCCCCCCTATGGCTAGGAAGAACAGGAAGGCGGGGTACACCTCCAGGCTAGGAAAAAAAAAATCCCACAAGGGCTTAGTAAACAAGTGAGGCCCAAGGCAGAACAGAAAATCTAATTTTCTACTGCTTACTTCTGACACACAATCTAATTTCCCCCTGCTTAACTCCAGGGAGGAAAAGAAAACAAGCAATTCTGTTTAATACATGACATCTTCTATTCCAAGGCCTTTATTAGAGTCAATTTTAATCAATTCCCACTTGGTTCTTGAGAAATTGTGAAATAATCAGAGGTTTTGTTTGTTATCTTAAGCTGAAATTTCACTTCATCTGTGAAGCAGTCTGATTTTCATCTCGGGAATACAGCCAAAAGAGGAATGGCAGGCACCAGTCCGAGCTCTACTGCATAAGGAGGTATTAAAGTGCTTACTGAAATTCTTCACCTGTTGGTCACCTTGATGTTCAATCTCAAAATTACAGCTGGTTCTAAATTTAGCACCATGTACATTAAACCGGACTCGGGATGAAGAATACATCATGCCCGTCTTCAAAAATCAGCATTAGAGCCATGTCTCTCTATGTACTAATGCAAGTACTTAAGACATTGTTGAAGTATAAATCACTCATCTTACGTGGCTTAGCTTTTATCCCTACTTGCTTCTTAAGACAATGAAGAACAGCCTCGCTAATAAACAGATCAGAGCTATCCATCATCAGAAATCCTCCTATTCCTGATAAGGGTCACAATGACCTGGAGCCTATCCTTGAAGCCGGGATGGGACAGCAGTCTGTCACAGGGCAAATGGGCGCGCACACAATCACTGGAAATCCGAGTGCGCACAGGGAGAACATGCAAACTCCACACATAAAGCAGTCCAGACCAGAAATAAACCCGGGGACCCAAGAGTCCCACCAGTAATAACCTCCCTGTGCCACCCTGAACGATAACTTCACTTAGGTTTTACTTTTTCTTTAAGGAAATTAATACCTACAAGTTCTGATGGATTATAGATTGTAAAACACTTTACTGTTTACGGGTTTCAACCAGAAATCCCGTTATTTGTGGTTACTTTTAACACTATAAAGTCACATTTCCGTAGTCAGGTTCACGTTTCAGCAGTCATAGTTACGGATGTTTGTATTTGAGACATTTAAAACAGTCATTTGTGCACAAGCTGTATGTGTGTGCTGCGAATACAGTGGTACATTTAGCTGTGAAAAACTGAGCTTTCATGAAACATCCAACACACTGCATATACTATAAACTGAGCAGGGTATGCTTCACAAAAATTGTTACTAGTGCCGTTTGTAATCTCCTTAATAAGTAACCACCTGCTTCCCCTCCAGCGCTTAGGAATACGTTCAGATATTGTCGGCACGGTGCCAACCCGATGAATTAATCCTATAAATCTTATTTTCTTTTAGCTTTTATTTTGTACTGCCGAACGAAGCCCTGCAGCGTTTGGCTCTATCCTATCCGACTGCCTTACCGATGTCACACGCCCTTGCCCACATCTCTTGCTTCATCAGGAATATCTGAACATTTCTCAGGTGTGACCAAGGTCACCTGCAGCAAGAACCCTGGGTTCCGAACCCCGCCGTCTGACAAAGCTCCTGGTAAATGCAGCTCAGGAGAACCCCATGCAGTGCTGTACGTACGTATTCTGGTGAGCACGCTGAATGCAGTTAAAGATGTTGCCATTCTCAGGATCATCGCTGTACATCTGAGGGTACTGTCAGAGCCAGAGAGACGCGCATTAATGTTGAAACACATAACATTACAGTTATTCCAAAATGATGCAGTTCCTTCCAACTGATGCTCTTGAACGTTTTGTCAACCGGTTTTACACAATCATGAAAAACACTGGTACTATACAGCAGTATTGACTAACTCCAACACACTAGCATTGTGTGGAATGGCATTATTTGGAAATTGCACTTAAATCACAAAAGTGTTCTAAATCAAGAGCACATTGTAAGCCACCAGTATACAAAATGATGTTTTGGGAAAAAAAAAACTGCAAAAAAAGATTAGTTCTGATTTCATTTCAAGAGTTCAAGGGACTATCAATGGATTCCCAGCCTGGAGACTGTAATTCAGATCTTTCTCATCCTCCTAACCTTGAAGTAACATTTCCTGTTCAAACCAAGGCGTTTCACTTATAATGACAGTGCACATTTGCCTTTAAATGTGTTACATCTGTAGAATACCAAACTGCACTCTCAGTGGCAATTATGGAAGAACATTATCATACAAATGCAAGAGCCGTGTTAATGTGACAAGTCAGCACAATGCTGTCCCCTTCTCTTTAACCAGTGACAGGCCCACTTCAGATGTTTCACCTGGGCGCTCACTGGCCACCCAGAGCAGAAACACTGCAAAAGTGGTCTGTTCAGTCCCACTCTCTGTAGCAGGACACTTCCAGACAGACACATCCGCAAACTTTTAAATCCTCCAGAACTGAGATATGTAAGCATTCGTATTTGATCTTTTTCCACAGGCTACTCCTTTGGCCTTTAAAACAGGAACAGTGCTGGTTTTTATACTGATGTGTGTTTTGTTTGGTCTAGGGGAGGAGGCGATAGGCCGCTGACTGTAATGAAGGACAATCAACAGCAAAGTCCAAGGCAGATACACCTACTGAATCAACAACCAATATCTGTGGCAAATGACAATTGCACCAGGGGGACACTATTTCTCATTGTTCTGTTTATGAAATTAATCACTGCACCATTCAGTACAGATCAAAGCTCCCTGTGCATGATATTGTTTAATATTAACATTTTTAGGCAAAATTAACAATTAAGTAGGACTAACAAACCTAAAAAACAAATCTCAGGAAACTGGTTGATTACTTTCATTAGGAATGAGTTATTGACTTATAATATTACAAGTACAGGCTGAATGGAACAGATGCTCAAGTTTTCACTTT